GGCACAAATACCCAATATGCGCAAATGTGAACACTGGTGGAGCCTGGGGAAAATAGACCTTGACTTTTGGGAGTTGTAGTTGCTGGGATTTATAGTTCATTATAATCAAAGAACATTCTGAAGTTCACCAACAATGGAATTGAACCAAACTTGGCACACAGAACTCCCATGACCAAGAGGAAATACTGGAAGGGTCTGGTGGACATTGACCTTGAATTTTTGGAGTTGTAGTTCACCTAGATCCAGAAAGCACTGTGGATTCAAACAACGATGAATTTGGACTAAACTTGGCACAAATACTCAATATGCCCAAATGTGAACACTGGTGGAGTCTGGGGAAAATAGATCTTGACATTTGGGAGTTGTAGTTGCTGGGATTTATAGTTCACCTACAATCAAAGAGCATTCTGAACTCCACCAGCGATGGATTTGAACCTAATTTGCCACACAGAACTCCCATGACCAACAGAAAACACTGGAAGGGTTTGGTGGGTATTGACCTTGAGTTTGGGAGTTGTAGTTCACCTATATCCAGAGAGCACTGTGGACTCATGCAATGGTGGATCTGGACCAAACTTGGCACAAATACTCAATATGTGCAAATGTGAACACTGGTGGAGCCTGGGGAAAATAGACCTTGACTTTTGGGAGTTGTAGTTGCTGGGATTTATAGTTCACCTACAATCAAAGAGTATTCTGAAGTTCACCAACAATGGAATTGAACCAAACTTGGCACACAGAACTCCCATGACCAAGAGGAAATACTGGGAGTGTCTGGTGGACATTGACCTTGAATTTTTGGAGTTGTAGTTCACCTACATCCAGAGAGCACTGTGGATTCAAACAATGATGAATCTGGACTAAACCTTGCACAAATACTCAATATCCTCAAATGTGAACACTGGTGGAATTTGGGAAAATAGATCTTGACATTTGGGAGTTGTAGTTGCTGGGATTTATAGTTCATTACAATCAAAGACCATTCTGAACCCCACCAACAATAGAATTGGCTCAAACTTCCCACATGGAACCCATGACCATCAGAAAATACTGTGTTTTCTGATGGTCTTTGCAACCCCTCTGACACCCCTTCGTGACCCCCTCAGTGGTCCCGACCCCAATAGTGGTCTTTGGCTATGCCCTTCCCTCCTCCCACCTCTCCAGTTGTCAGTTAGGCGATCCCTCATAGCTCGAGGATGATTGTCTTCCAGATGTGGTATCTTGGTGGTGGGTCCGTACGTGACTGTGAAGCCACATCTTCTCCCGCAGTGAGGACATCGGTTTCCAGGTGGAAGGTGGTCCTGGTCAGGGTTGGCTCTACTCACCTTCCTCTTGGCACGTTTTTCTCTTTCACCTCTTCAAATTCCACAGCACTGCTGGTCACAGCTGACTTCCAGTTAGAGCACTCAACAGCCAGGGCTTTCCAGTTCTCGGTGTCTATGCCACAGTTTTTAAGGTGAATTTTAAGCCCATCTTTACATCTTTTTTTCCTATCCTCCAACATTCCGTTTTCCATTCTTGAGTTTAGAGTAGAGCAACTGCTTTGGGAGACGGTGGTCGGGTATCCGGACAACGTGGCCAGTCCAGAGGAGTTGATGGCGGAGGACCATCGCTTCAGTGCTGGTGGTCTTTGCTTCTTCCAGCATGCTGACATTTGTCCGCTTGTCTTCCCAAGAGATTTGCAGGATTTTTCGGAGGCAATGCTGATGGAATCATTCCAGGAGTTGCGTATGATATGATTTTTTTCATGTCTGGAGTGACATGATAGCTATGTATAAATATGTGAGAGGAATTCACAGGGAGGATGGAGCAACCTTGTTTTCTGCTGCCCTGGAGACTAGGATGCGGAACAATGGCTTCAAAGTACAAGAAAGGAGATTCCATCTGAACATGAGGAAGAACTTCCTGACTGTGAGAGCTGTTCAGCAGTGGAACTCTCTGCCCCAGAGTGTGGTGGAGGCTCCTTTTTGGAAGCTTTTAAACAGAGGCTGCATGGCCTCTGTTACCTTGCTGGAGTTACCTTCCCGCCGGAGCGTTACCTATTGATCAACTCACATTTGCATGTTTTCAAACTGCTAGGTTGGCAAAAGCCAGGGCTGAGAGCAGAAGCTCACTCCGCCCCCCAGATTCAAACCTGCGACCTTTCGGTATTATTTATTATTTACGTCACTTTTATCCCGCCCATATCAGCCCAAAGGCAACTCAGGGTGGCTCACAAATCGGCACAATTAGATGCTATATAAAAATACATAGGTAAAGGTTTTCCCCTGACATTAAGTCCAGTCGTGTCCGACTCTGGGGTGTGGTGCTCATCTCCATTTCTAAGCCAAAGAGCCGGCGTTGTCCATAGACATCTCCAAGGTCATGTGGCCGGCATGACTGCATGGAATGCCATTACCTTCCCGCCGGAGCGGTACCTATTGATCTACTCACATTTGCATGTTTTCGAACTGCTAGGTTGGCAGAAGCTGGGGCTGACAGCGGAAGCTCAGCCGCCTCCCCGGATTCAAACCTGCGACCTTTTGGTATTATTTATTATTTACGTTACTTTTTATCCCACCCATATCAGCCCAAAGGCAACTCAGGGTGGCTTACAAATCGGCACAATTAGATGCTATATAAAAATACATAGGTAAAGGTAAAGGTTTTCCCCTGACATTAAGTCCAGTTGTGTCTGACTCTGGGGTGTGGTACTCATCTCCATTTCTAAGCTGAAGAGCCGGCATTGTCTGTAGACATCTCCAAGGTCATGTAGCTGGCATAGCTGCATGGAATGCCATTACCTTTCCGCCAGAGCGGTACCTATTGATCTACTCACATTTGCGTGTTTTCGAACTGCTAGGTTGGTAGAAGCTGGGGCTGACAGCAGAAGTTCATTTCGCTCCCTGGAATCAAGCCTCCGACCTTTCGGTCAACAAGTTTAGCAGCTCAGCGGTTCAACCTGCTGCTCCACTGGGGGCTCCTACACAACTACACAATAGTGTGACATTTTGGTTGGAGGGAATGTGTCGTTGCCATCCTGTTTACTGTGAGGTTCTGGGGAATGTAATAAAACAGCTAAGTTCTGCAACCGTTGCATTTTGCTTCTTAGCCCTGCAAAATTATGCTGTGTCAACCTTGTATTTGGTGAATCTTTTGTACATTGACCAGGGGATGGGTATACAAATGTCTTCTGTGTATAAATATTATAAAAGCATTTTAATATTACAAGATTTGTGCTTTGATACTCGCTTATCGATCCAGTTTGATGTTTCCAATTGATTCCTTTAAAGACACTGGCTTCTCGGGTGATGTAAGGTTGGGTTGCCTTTGCGTGTTTGCAGCTGACACCCGTTTGTTGGAGTTTGAATCTCCCTGTGACATTTGTCAAGGTTCATTCTTAGACTTGTGCATACCAGGCTGTCTTCACTTGCGCGCTCATGCGAGATGTTTTCTAAATATTCCCTGTAATGTCTGTGTTTATTTTCCCAAGTGCTGAGCTTTCATAAAAAGCCACACAAGGTGGATTGAGGTGGAAGGGAAAGGAAATCGTGGCGGATTGTGTTGGAGTCAGCCTAGCCCATAGTTTCCAGCTGTTCCTGAGGTTTCTTTCTTACTCTGGAACAGTGGCAGGTGAATCGATCCAGTTTAGACCTATAGCATCAGAGGGATCTGGGCTAATTTTTTTTGGTTGATATAAGGTTGTCCATCTCTTTCTATATATCACACCTGTCTGTCTGTCAAAGGTCTGTCTGTCTGCTTGTATCATAAAGGCTGTTGCTAGGTGAAGTATCCTTCTGTGATGCCACTGGATTTGGCTGTTGCTGGGTGGAGTGTCCCTCTCTGATGCCACTGGATTAGCTGTTGCTAGGTGAAGTGTCCTATGACGCCACTGGATTAGACTGTTGCTGGGTGGAGTGTCCCTCTATGATGCTACTGAATTTGGCTGTTTCTAGGTATAGTGTCCCTCTGTGATGCCACTGGCTGTTGCTGAGTGGAGTGTCTCTCTGTGATGCTATTGGATTTGGATGTTAATATGTGGAGTGTCCCTCTGTGATGCCACTGGATTTGGTTGTTGCTAAGTGAAGTGTCCCACTGTGATGCCACTAACTGACTGTTGCTGGGGAGAGTGTCTCTCTGTGATGCCACTGGATTGACTGTTGCTAGGTGTAGTGTCCCTCTGTGATGCCACTTGATTTGGCTGTTGCTAGGTGAAGTGTCCCTCTGTGATGCTACTAGATTAGCTGTTGCTAGGTGAAGTGTCCCTCCGTGATGCTACTAGATTGGCTGTTGCTGGGTAGAGTGTCCCTCTGTGATGCCACTGGATTGACTGTTGCTAGGTGTAGTGTCCTTCTGTGATGCCACTTGATTTGGCTATTGCTAGATGAAGTGTCCCTCTGTGATGCCACTAGATTGGCTGTTGCTGAGTGGAGTGTCTCTCTGTGATGCTATTGGATTTGGATGTTAATATGTGGAGTGTCCCTCTGTGATGCCACTGGATTTGGTTGTTGCTAAGTGAAGTGTCCCACTGTGATGCCACTAACTGACTGTTGCTGGGGAGAGTGTCTCTCTGTGATGCCACTGGATTGACTGTTGCTAGGTGTAGTGTCCCTCTGTGATGCCACTTGATTTGGCTATTGCTAGGTGAAGTGTCCCTCTGTGATGCTACTAGATTGGCTGTTGCTAGGTGAAGTGTCCCTCCGTGATGCCACTAATTGGCTGTTGCTGGGTAGAGTGTCCCTCTGTGATGCCACTGGATTGACTGTTGCTAGGTGTAGTGTCCTTCTGTGATGCCACTGGATTGCCTGTTGCTAGGTGAAGTGTCCTTCTGTGATACCACTTGATTTGGCTGTTGCTGGGTGAAGTGTCCCTCTATGATGTCAGAGAGCCATATCCTCAATTTGCCCCCTACTCAATTTGCACTTTCTCTACCACTATTGCAGATGGCCTATTCTCAAGCTGTTGACGTGAGGAAACCAGCAATTACGTTCTTCCCAATATAATTTCCCACTTGTTTGCAGGTCTACAGAACGAAGGGGCATCGAAGAGCGTCTTCAAAACCAAAGATGTCCCTGGCTGTTGGCTTTGTTTCCTTTATGTTGGTGCTGCCTGCTCTGCATATGAGTGAGTACATGGATGTCCAAAACATGCATTAGATTTACAAGCTTTTAATTATACATTCTTGATGTTGGCTTTCAAAATAAAGCATTGGTGGACAGGAAAAATTAAAAAGGGCTGAAGTAGGAATATAATGGTAAGGAAATGTAATTCTGCTATTTGACCTGGAAAAGAGTATTTATGTAGCCACCTTAGATCCTATTCTGGATCTAAGAGAATAAATCTAATAGATGGGTGGATAGACATGTAGATAGTAAAAATGCTCACACATTCTTTTGCATGATGGAGAGAATAGTAAATCCTATTTCTCTTGAATTTGTACCTGCTGGCAACATTATGGCATGGGTTGCACCAGCAGAACATCTGGTTTGGCCCATAATCATGATGATGAAAGCATTTGCATTCTATTCCCATTGCCTTGTTCCTACCTGTCATTTGCTCCCAGACTTTCCAAATACCTTCGAATATGTAATTGGAGCCCTGTTATCCTAGAATGCAATTTCCTAACTAAACCTGCCAGGAAGGCCAAAGCATGTCATTTGTTCCCAGCACACACACAAAAAAGACATTTCGCCCACATCTATGGCAGGCATCCTCAGAGGTTGTGAGGTCTGTTGGAAACTAAAAAAATTGGGTTTATGTATCTGTGGAATAATGTCCAGGGTGGAAGAAAGAACTCTTATCTGCTTGAGTGTTGAATGTTGCAATTGGCTACCTTGATTAGCATTGGGTTCTTGTGGGTTTTTTCGGGCTATAGGGCCATGTTCTAGAGGCATTCTCTCCTGACGTTTCGCCTGCATCTATGGCAAGCATCCTCAGAGGTAGTGAGGTCTGTTGGAATTAGGACAATGGGTTTATATATCAGTGGAATGGCTGGGGTGGGTCAAAGAGCTCTTCTCTGCTGGAGCTAGGTGTGAATGTTTCAATTGACCACCTTCATTAGCATTTGAAGGCCTGGCTGAGCCTGGGAAAATCTTTTGTTGAGAGGTGTTAAGATGTGCCTGGTTGTTTCCTCTCTGCTGTTTTGCTGTTGTAATTTTAGAGTTTTTTTTTAATACTGGTAGCCAGATTTTGTTCATGGCCCTATAGCCCGAAAAAACCCACAAGAACCCAGTGATTCCAGCCACGAAAGCCTTCGACAATACATTGATTAGCATTGAATGGCCTTGCAGCTTCAAAGCATGGCTGATTGCTGCCTAGGGAATCCTTTGTTTGGAGGTGTTAGCTGGTCCTGATTATTTCATGTCAGGAATTCCACTGTTTTTTGAGGAGGGCAGAATACCACTGGATTGCCAAAGATGAGAAAACGCACAGCTTGGTGTTGGAATTTCATCCTCGACAGAGTCAAATAGAAGAGTCTTGGAGAGCGTGAGGTGCAAAGATATGCCTCATGAAACCCACCCAGATATTGCTGAAGCTTGCAGTCGTTTCTTTGATTTGTTTCCTGAATTGACCATAAAGCATCTGCGTTATGTAAAAATCCCCCATCAAGTGCTTGAATTATTTTCCTGAACTATCTTGGTTGGCGGTAGGCCTGGATAACAACGGAAAAATTTGTTTCTAAAATCGATTCGTTTTTTGGGGTTTTTTGCGTTTCGATATTTAAAAGAATTCCGAAATTTTCCTTTAAAAAAGTTCGATATTTACGAAGTTTCGTAAATGGTAAAAAAATTACAAAACAATAACGAAACAATAACGAATCGATTTGTTAATGGCGGCCGCGATTGCGCAATACGCTAAAAAAACTTCTGAAGCTTCCCTCTCCCTCTGTTGTTGACTGTTGGTGTGATATTATAATTTTTTTTCACTAATTAAACAAAAAACAACTATAAAACTTGCCCCAGACATGCGGAAATAATAACGAAACGACCTCAAACCAATAACGAAACGAATACATGACGAAATACGAAGCATTTACGAAACGAATTGAAAAATTCGTTTTGTTTTTAAGTTGCTCCAGAATGGTTCGTTATTGCTTCGTTAACAAAAAAAATAACGAATTTTTAACGAATTACGAATTAATGAAACGAAACCGCCCAGCCCTAGTTGGCGGCTATTAAAATGACCCCTTCTGTTCAGTCATCTGCTTATCTGCTTACAGAAGCCAAGGCAGGTGTTTCCAAAATTGTCTTTATGGGCCACTCGTCTCAGTATATGGTCTTTAATTCATTTTTTTTGTCCGATCAGTGTTTCCTCTAGCCTTCTGTCTTTCAGGTGTGGCCAGTTCAATGCAACAGGGAAACAGAACACAAAACTATATAGAAATACCTGTCTTGTTTTAAAGTGTTATTTGCACTACAAATGAGATATGTGCAGTGTGCATAGGAATTCATTTATGGTTTTTTTCAAATTATAATCCAGCCCTTCAACAGGTTTAAGGGATTGTGACCTGGCCCTCTATTTAAAATGTTTGAGGTGGCCCTGTTCTAGAAGCATTCTCTCCTGACGTTTCGCCTGCATCTATGTGAGGATGCTTGCCATAGATGCAGGTGAAACATCAGGAGAGAATGCTTCTAAATCATGGCTATATAGCCTGCAAAACCTACAACAACCCAAATCTACACTTCTTTTGGCAATGTATCCCAGCAACTACAACTCCCAAATGACGAAATCAATCCCCCCTCCCCAACCCCATCAGTATTCAAATTTGGGCATATTGGGTATTTGTGCCAAATTTGGTCCAGTGAATGAAAATACTTCCTGCATTTCAGATATTTATATTACTATTCATAAAAGTAGCAAAACTACAGTTCTGAAGAAGTAACAAAAATAATTGTATGGTTGGGGGTCACCACAACATGAGGAACTGGATTAAGGGGCCGCGGTATTAGGAAGGTTGAAAAATACTGGGCTAATTGGCTTGTATTAATTATTTCTATAGAAAAGTGGGTTCTGGTACCTCTATTTCCCCCCAACGTATGGATAATAATCTGCTGCACCTGCAGAAATCCCTTCTTTCTGACAGCAGCGAAAGATAGACAAACAATAGCCTCCAGTTACATCTAGTGACCCAAGTCAGAAACACAGCAGAGGATGTGGTCAAGAAACCACATGGCACCGCATTGGTTTTGGTTTTTCATTTCAGACCTGAATTTATTTTTCTGGAATGGGACAGGAAACTCAGTGCAGATGGGGAGTATTTATGTAATTCCATTGATCCCACTAGTGTTACGGAAAGAAAGGGAAATCGCTGTATCACTCGGAGAGTTTCTTGAATATCTGTAAAATATTTACGGTGGAAAAGAATCCACTTTGTCTGCTCCAGTGAAATAAGATTCTCATCAACTTGCTGACCAGAAAAGTCATTCTAAGTGGCGAGAAGAAGCCTGTTGGTTCCAGAGAGATCTTGGAACCTTCATAGAATGATAGAATCAAAGAGTTGGGAGAGACCTCCTGGGCCATCCAGTCCAACCCCATTCTGCCAAGAAGCAGGAATATTGCATTCAAATCACCCCTGACAGATGGCCATCCAGCCTCTGTTTAAAAGCTTCCAAAGAAGGAGCCTCCACCACACTCCGGGGCAGAGAACCGAAGGAGCCTCCACCACACTCCGGGGCAGAGAGTTCCACTGCTGAACGGCTCTCACAGTCAGGAAGTTCTTCCTCATGTTCAGATGGAATCTCCTCTCTTGTAGTTTGAAGCCATTGTTCCGCGTCCTAATCTCCAGGAAGCAGAAAACAAGCTTGCTCCCTCCTCCCTGAGGCTTCCTCTCACATATTTATACATGGCTATCATATCTCCTCTCAGCCTTCTCTTCTTCAGGCTAAACATGCCCAGCTCCTTAAGCCGCTCCTCATAGGGCTTGTTCTTCAGACCCTTGATCATTTTAGTCGCCCTCCTCTGGACACATTCCAGCATAATGGTTTGTTTTGCATCCTAAAATTAGCTTTTAGAGGTCTAGACAAGGGACGGGCCAAGTTTGTCCCTCCAAGTGTTTTGGACTCCAACTCCCAGAATTCCTAACAGCCTCAGACCCTTTCCTTTTCATCCTCAGCCGCTTAAGGCCCAAGTTGGCAAAGGAAGGGGTCTGAGGCTGTTAGGAATTCTGGGAGTTGGAGTCCAAACACCAGGAGGGCCCAAGTTGGCCCATGCCTGGTCTAGAATGTGTGTCTTACTATGCTTGATTTTCTCATTCTGCTGTATAACAAACTCCAGAAAAACATGGAGACTCCCATCTAGGAAACCTGTCACTTTCATCCCAGTAATCAGAGGTCATTTGCAAAGCAACTTTTTATGTTTGCAAAGCAACTTGAAAAATACTTTGTAAACACAGTTAACAAACACCTCCCCAGTTGCCTAAATAGTTAAATAGTTGCCTAAATAGTTACATAGTATGAGACACTATAGGTTTGGGTAACAACGCAACCCCTGAACAACCTTACTAGTGGGAGCAGGTTAATTGTGGAACATGAGGAATATCACTCCCCTTTCATGGTTTCCTCCTTTGAAATTAACAAAATCTGGCTACCAGTACTTTAAAAAAGTCAGGAGAATAAATAAAGAACGACATTCAGAAAAAAAAGGAATTCAAGACAGGAAACAATCAGGGCCAGCTAACACCTCTGTGCTGTCGCACGCTGGGCCTGTGCATATGACTGTAGACAGGACATAAATTCTGTGTGCCCAACGGGACGCCGGGGCTGCCTCAGATTAAAGGCCCTTGGATCTTAAAGTAAGTCCAACAAAGTTCTTTATTGATGAAAACAAACAGGTACTTTCAAGCTTTCTTAACAGTCTGTAGGCTCTTGCAATCTTGTTCACTGGGAACAGGCACTATCTTCTTAACTGTAATTAACTAATGGGGAAATCCTTAACTTCTAATCTGGGCAGTCTGTACTTGCCTCTGTTGGCGTGGAGCCCCTGCAACCGGTACCAACTGCGTCTGGCTTCCGCGAGCGACCCTTACCAAGCAGAGATTTGTAGACTTCCAGGGGAAAGGAGTTCAGGTTTCGGTGATGGCTGGCTGAAATCCCTCAGCAAAGGAGCTGTAAGGCTGTATGATCCTCGGCCAAGCTGTGGGCTGTATAACCCTGGCCTAGCTGAAGAGCCTTTTCTCCCCGGCCAAGCTGTATATCTCCCCGGCCAAGCCGTAGAAGACGAAGCTTTCTACAGGAGCTCTTCGTTTTATGTCCTGTGCGAAAGGCTTCTCTGTGTGGACTGACTCAAAAAGGCTCCTATTCCCTCCAAAACTCAAAAAGGGGCGGGACCAGGGAACCTAACGATAATTGACAGGTGGCTTGCCCTATGATTGCAAACTATAACAGGAAGCCATCCTGCTGCAAAATCCCAAGCCTGGGATTGCAAACAAACATTTAATGCAAAGCAAACAGAATTGGAGCTCCTGGTACAGCTGTACCAATGCAACCTCCCAACAAAGGATTCCCCCATGCAGGAAGCAGCCAGGCTTTGAAGCTGCAAGGCCATTCAGTGCTAATCAAGGCGGCCAATTTCACCATACACGCTTGCCTCAAACAGGCAAGAGTTCTTTCTCTCACCCTGGAGAATCAGGAGACTAAATAAAGAACAACACTCAGAAAACAAGGGAATGCCAGACAGGAAACAATCAGGGCCAGCTAACACTTCCCAACAAAGGATTCCCCCATGCAGGAAGCAGCCAGGCTGTAAAGCTGCAAGGCCATTCAATGCAAATCAAGGTGGCCAAATGCAACATACACACTTGCGTCAAACAGACAAGAGTTCTTTCTCCCACCCTGGACATTATTCCACAGATATATAAACCCCATTTGTTGCCTAGTTTCTAACAGACCTCACAACCTCTGAGGATGCCGGCCATAGATGTGGGCCACACATATTAAAAAAACTCTAAAATCAGGACAGTAAATAAAGAACAACACTCAGAAAACAGGGAAATCCCATACAGGAAACAATCAGGGCAAGTTAACACCTCCCAACAAAGGATTCCTCCAGACAGGAAGCAGCCAGGCTTTGAAATTGCAAGGCTATTCAATGCTAATCAAGATGGCCAACTGCAACATTCACACTTGCCGCAAACGCAAGAGTTCTTTCTCCCATCCTGGACATTATTCCACAGATATATAAATCTCACTTACCTAGTTTTCAACAGACCTCACAACCTCTGAGGATGCCTGTCATAGATGTGGGTGAAATGTCAGGAGAGAATCCTTCTTGAGCACGGCCATACAGCTTGGAAAAGTCACAGCAACACAGTATATGTGGCTAGGCTTCAATAGGCAGGACCATATATGTCCTCCAAGTTGGAAAGGCTGGGCATGTTTCACACGTTCCCTTAGATACTGCAAGAGAATTAGAGTATCTCCTAATTCCCTATATTTGTATTCTCCTCCGGTGGCGCAGTGGGTTAAAGCACTGAGCTGCTGAGCTTGTTGATTGAAAGGTCGCAGGTTCGATTCTGGGGAGCGGCGTGAGCTTCCGCTGTCAGCCCTAGCTTCTGCCAACCTAGCAGTTCGAAAACATGCAAATGTGAGTAGATCAATAGGTACCGCTCCGCGGGAAGGTAACGGCGCTCCATGCAGTCATGCCGGCCACATGACCTTGGAGGTGTCTACGGACAACGCTGGCTCTTCGGCTTAGAAATGGAGATGAGCACCACACCCCAGAGTCAGACATGACTGGACTTAATGTCAGGGGACTACCTTTCCCTTTACTTTATCAATCCAAGAATGGTGTCCATTTTTTCTTGCTAATTGCACACACAATGTTGAGTAGGTGAAGACAGGCTTCACATAGAGGATAGGCTATAAAAGGCCTTCCAAGTCTTTTGGCCTTCAACTCCTACAATTCCTAACAGCCAATAAATTGGTTGGGATTTCTGGGAAGTCCAAAACACCTGAAAGGCTGGGTGATAAGGTTTATATGAAACATTGACTGGCATTTCCGTTTGCCTGCTGACTTGTGTTTTAAGTTCTTCCTTCACCTGTTTCAGCTGGAGCAGCCTCATCCTGTCCTGATTTGGATCCAGAGCTGGAACTTTGGGATCCTGGGCATGATGAAGATAATCGGGTGAACATCAGCCACGGCCAAAGGCTTCTTCTGGCCTCCTCTGCAACTGTCCACTCCATCCACATCACAAATGGAGGTAATATGGTACATCTACATTATGCTGCTCTAGTAATAGAATCATAGCATTGGAAGAGATCTCTTGGGCCATTCAGTCCAACCCCCTGCCAAGAAGCAGGAAAATTGAAGGTGGTCCTGATTGAGGTTGGCTTGACACACCTTCCTCTTGGCACATTTCTCTCTTTCACTCTCCATTCGTGCCTCTTCAAATTCTACAGCACTGCTGGTCACAGCTGACCTCCAGCTGGAGCGCTCAAGGGCCAGGGCTTCCCAGTTCTCAGTGTCTATGCCAGTTTTTAAGGTTGGCTTTGAGCCCATCTTTAAATCTCTTTTCCTGTCCACCAACATTCCGTTTTCCGTTCTTGAGTTCAGAGTAGAGCAAATGCTTTGTGAGACGGTGGTCGGGCATCCGGACAACATGTGTTCTGTTGCACACTGGGCTTGTAAAGAATTTCCTTTAGAACAGGACGTGCAACCTTTGCCCAGTGGGAAGCCAGGGGGCCCAAAGGAGAGGTTCTCAGAGGTTTTCCACCACAAATAGTCTTTAGATAGCTTGTGAAGTATAACAAAGTCTTTTATTAATGAACAATCAAACAAAAACTTCTCTTGTCTTCAGAAAGTTAAACAAATGATTCCAGGCTTTTATGCAACTGGTAGCTTCCTAAACTTGCCCACGAAGGACAGGCAACTGTCTTCAATAACTTATTCTTTACTTTAAAGGAAAGTCCCCTTTTTAACTTTTCCCAGGCTGACTGTAATCTAACCCTTACTGATGTGGGCTCCGCTACCGGGTCAAACTGCTTCTTGAACGCTGAGTGGACCTACCAGTAAAGGCTTAGATGTTCTCCAGCTGGAGTTCTTTGGTCTTTAGGGCTGTTTCCCTGGAAATCTTTGGAGACTGTTCTCCCCTGAAAGTCTTGGATGCTCTTAAGACTGTTTCCCCCTGGAAAGTTTTAAGGGTTGAAGCTTTTGTACAGGGGAAGCTTGCACACGTCCTGTACATTAGCTTTCCTTGCTGAGACTAACTAAAAATGGCTCCCTTCCCTTCCCAATTGCCCTGAGCAAGGGGCGGGACCAAAACTTAACGATGATGGACAGGTGACTTGCCCTATGACTGCAACCAAAGGAAGCCACCTATCTGCAGAGTCCCTGAAACCTTGAACTGCAAGCAAATATTTAATACAAAGCAAACAAAATTGGAGCTCCTGGTCATACATAAGTGTTATATTTCTGGGAAGGTGATGTGTGTGGGAATGTTTCCTGTTAGCAAAAAAAGGAGCAAGAGAAATCACTGAATTGACTGCCTTGTATTGATATGTAGTTCATTTGAGCTTTCACAAAAATTGGAAATACCTCCTTTCGTGTAGCTCAGTTTATTTTGCCATTTCAGTGAGAGAAATGGGAAAATCAAATCAGAGCATTTGATGAGTATATGCTTTCTCTCTCAAGCCTAAATAGACTTAAAAGGAAACGCTCAACTTGAATGCCGCCAAGTCTTAAATCAACAACTTTCCCCCTCTCTTTAGGAAAGCTAGTGATTAAGGACAACACAAACCCCATTGTTTTGCGAACTCGACATATTCTGATTGAAAATGATGGAGCGTTCTATATTGGGAGCGAGAGCTGCCCTTTCCAGGGAAACCTAACCATCATTTTGTATGGACGGTATGTATTTAAGGAGTTATCATCTCATCGTTTTGAAAACTAGCCCTAATGCACTTGAGAAGGAAATTGGTACTATGCTGTTATACAAAGATTGTCTCATTGAGGCCCTGGCTTTCTGAGGAGTGTCTGAAAGCACCAACCAAGAAGAAAGCACCCAGAAATACAGATTTAGCCATGCATTATTAATCTAAAACTAAGGCTGGCATTCAATATTGCAGTTTTGGGATAGCCATAACTTAGCAGCTGATCTAGGATCTCACTCTAAATCTCCAAGAGCAAAAATGCAGAGAAAAGTAACCATTTATATGCTATAGAAGCTAAAGCCTGTGTTTGTTGTTAATATGTATTTTAATGTATTGTCGAAGGCTTTCATGGCGGGAATCACTGGGTTGTTGTAGGTTTTTCCGGGCTATATGGCCATGTTCTAGAGGCGTTTCTCCTGACGTTTTGCCTGCATCTATGGCAAGCATCCTCAGAGGTAGTGAGGTCTGTTGGAACTAGGAAAATGGGTTTATATATCTGTGGAATGACAGGGTGGGACAAAGGACTTTTGTCTGCTAGAGCTAGGTGTGAATGTTTCAACTGACCACCTTGATTAGCATTTGATGGTCTGGCAGTGCCTGGAGCAATCTTTTGTTGAGAGGTGATTAGATATCTACATAAAAACTCCAACCATCACCCAAGTCAAAAAAGAAGCACCATTAAAGCCTTGGCAGACCGTGCAAAAAGAATCTGCGAACCCCACCTCCTCCAAGATGAACTGAACCACCTCAACTGGGCTCTACAGGCCAATGGAGACTCCACCTCAGACCTCAGAAGAGCTGCAAGACAACCAAGAAGAAGCCACAAGGGTCAAGACAAAGACTCACCCAGAGGAAAAGTGTTCTTGCCATACATCAAGGGAACCACTGACCGCATAGGGAAGCTGATGAGGAAACACAACATACAAACTATCTACAGACCCACCAAGAAAATCCAACAAATGCTACGTTCAGCAAAGGACAAGAGGGATCCTCTCACTTCTGCAGGAGTCTACCGTGTACCATGCAGCTGTGGACAAGTCTACAGAGGGACCACCAAACGCAGCAGCATTGTCCAGACACGAATCAAGGAACATGAAAGGCACTGCAGACTACTTCAACCAGAGAAGTCAGCCAGAGCAGAGCACCTGATGAACCAGCCTGGACACAGCATATTATTTGAGAACACAGAAATGCTGGACCACTCCAACAACCACCATGTCAGACTACACAGAGCAGCCATTGAAATCCACAAGCATGTGGACAATTTCAACAGAAAGGAGGAAACCATGAAAATGAACAAAATCTGGCTACCAGTATTAAAAAAAACTCTAAAATAACAACAGCACAACAACAGAGAGGAAACAAACAAGGACATCTAATCACCTCTCAACAAAAGTTTGCTCTAGGCACTGCCAGGCACAAATGCTAATCAAGGTGGTCAGTTGAAACATTCACACCTAGCTCCAGCAGACAAGAGTCCTTTTGTCCCACCCTGGTCATTCCACAGATATATAAACCCATTTCCTAGTTCCAACAGACCTCACTACCTCTGAGGATGCTTGCCATAGATGCAGGCGAAACGTCAGGAGAGAATGCCTCTAGAACATGGCCATATAGCCCGAAAAAACCTACAACAACCCATGTATTCTTTAATTTATAACTTACTACCCTGGGTACCCAGCAATGCCCAGGTTATTTGAAAAGGGCATTGTTTGTTTTTGAGTGTTAGGTAATGTCCATTTGGTCATATGTTACACTACTTCTTAGAAATAAAACCCCAGTCTGTGCTTTTGTATTTTATGAATGCTCCCATTAGAAAATGCATAAGGATGTGGGAGAACTACAGTTCCCAAAAATCATGGATGAATCCTCCCCAAACTCCACCAATATGGGTCTGTGTGCCAAGTATGGTCCAGATCCGTCATTGATTGGGTTCAGTGTTCTCTGAACACGGATGAACTATAATTCCCTGATTTCAAGGTCATTCACCCCCAAAGTCTACCAGTATTCACAGTTGGTAGCATTGGGTCTGTGTGCCAAGTGTGGTCCAGATCCATCATTGGTGGGGTTCAGAGGGCTCATGGAATACAGATGAACTATAATTCCCAGAGTTAAAAGTAAATCACCCACAGAGTCCACCAGTATTTTCAGTTGGCAATGTTGAATTTGTGTGCCAAGTTTGGTTCATATCTGTCATCAGTTGGATTCAGTGTTCTCTGGATAACTCCTGGATGTCAAGGTCAATCATCCCCAAACCCTGTCAATATGCAAAGTTGGCCATGTGGGGTCTGTGTGGCAAGTTAGTTCCAGGTCCATCGTTGGTGGAGTCTGGAGTGCTCTTAAATTGCAGGTGAACTATACATCCCAGTCCCTAAAACTCCTATAAATCATTGTGAACTCTCCCCATGCCTCTCTCTCTAGTACAGTGGGTCGCAACCTTCCTAATGCCGCGACCCCTTAATACAGTTCCTCATGTTGTGGTGACCCCCAACCATAACATTACTCTCGTTGCTACTTCAAAACTGTAATTTTGCTACTGTTATGAATCGTCATGTAAATATCTGATATGCAGGATGTATTTTCATTCACTGGATGAAACTGGGCACAAATAACCAATACACCCAAATTTGAATACTGGTGGGATTGGGGGAGGGTATTGATTTTGTCCTGTGGGAGTTTTAATTGCTGGGATTTATAGTTCACCTACAATTAAAGAGCATCCTGAACTCCACCAATGATGGAATGGAACCAGAACACAGAATTGCCATGACCAACAGAAAAGACTGGAAGGGTTTGATGGGCATTGACCTTGAGTTTTGGAGTTGTAGTTCACCTACACCAAGAGAGCACTGTGGAGTCAAATAATGATAGATCTGGACCAAACTTGGCACGAATACTCAATATACCCAAACGTGAATACTGGTGGAGTTTGGGGGGAAATAGACCTTGACCTTTGGAAGTTGTAGTTGCTGGGATTCATAATTCACCAACGATGGAATTGAACCAAACTTGGCACACAGAACTCCCATGACCAACAGGAAATACTGGAAGGGTTTGGTGGGCAGTGTCCTTTGGTTTTGGGGTTGTAGTTCACCTACATCCAAAGATCACTGTGGACACAAACAATGATGGATCTGGACCAAACTCTACATGAATACTCAATATGCCCAAATGTGAACACTGGTGGAGTTTGGGGAAAATAGAATCTTGACATTTGGGAGTTGTAGTTGCTGGGATTTATAGTTCACCTACAATCACAGAACATTCTGAACCCCACCAACAATAGAATTGGGCCAAACCTCCCACACAGAACCCCCATGTGGGCCACAGCAATGCGTGGCAGGGGAAGGCTAGTAATTGTATATGCTTATTCTGATGACCTGGCTTTTGTAATTGTATGATATTTAATTACCTTTATTTTAATGTATTTTGTATTAATGTATTATGATGCTATTATGTTTACTATATTTGTATTGAATTTTCTGCTGTTAGCTGGCCTGAGCCCCTCTTCAGAGGTCGAGAAGATTGGGTTATAAAAGCTCTAAATAAATAAGTAAACAAATAATAAATTGAAGACCGAATTCTTCATGCAGGCTATAGAGACCTACCTTGCAAAGCACTTTTAATTAACAGGGATAGAGTGAGCATTCCATTTTCTATCAGTAATGTAATGATCCTTTTGCTTTCTGTGGTTTTAATCATAGTGCCGATGATGGCACCCCAACGGACAGTTACTTTGGGAAGAAGTATATTGGGGTTATTGGTGGTGGGACCTTGGAGATCCATGGTGAGAAGAAGCTCTCCTGGACTTTCCTGAACAAGACTTTGAACCCAGGCGGCTTGCAGGAAGGCGGCTACTATTTCGAACGAAGCTGGGGTCATCGTGGCGTCATCGTCCATGTCATTGATCCAAAGACAGGAGCAGTTATGCATTCTGACAGGTACAGTTTGTTTCAATGCGTTCGTTCCTCCCATCCTGGGTCTCAAGATGCCCTATAATAATAATACCAAAACAAGACTAAGTTATGTTATAATCAGCACGTTGAATTGTGCCTGGGAATAAATAAACCATTATAGAATCATAGAGTTGGAAGAGACCTCATGGGCCATCCAGTCCAACTCCCTGCCAAGAAGCAGGAAAATCATTCAAAGCACCCCAACAGATGGCCATTCAGCCTCTGGTCAAAAGCTCCAAAGAAGGAGCCTCCACCACACTCCGGGCAGAGAGTTCCACTGCTGAACAGCTCTCACAGTCAGGAAGTTTTTCCTAATGTTCAGATGGAATCTCCTTTCTTGTAGTTTGAACCCATGGCTTCATTGAGTCCTAGTCTCCAGGGCATCAGAAAACAAGCCTGCTCCCTTTAATATATGGTAATATATTCAAGTAGTAATATATCAAGTAGGAGGGGGCCCACGGTGCAATGAGTTAAACTCTTGTGCTGCTGAACTGCTGATCTGAAGGTTGCCTGAACTTCTCACCTGAAGGCTGGCAGTTTGAATCTGCGAGACAGGGTGAGCTCCCATCTGTCAGCTCCAGCTCCTACCAATTTAACAGTTTGAAAACATGAAAATATGAGTAGATAAATAGGGACCACTTTGGTAGGAAAAGGCAAAGAGATGCTCCAAGCAATCTTGCTGGCCACACAACCAGGAGGTGACAACACAGGTGCCTTGGCTTGAAAATGGAGAGAAGCACCTCCTCAGAGTCAGAGATGAGAACCACCTCCAGAAGCCGGAAATGAAAGGAGAAGCCTCTGCCTTCGTTTGTAAAGGCACTGAATGTTTGCCTGTGTATGTAAATGCTGCTTTGATGGTGCTTATCTTGTATGGCAGGGTGATGGGCTAGATGACCTTTGGGGTCTCTTCCCACTCTATGATTCTGTTATTAGTTTAGGAATGCTACTTGCTTGTGCTCATGTTGCTACTGCCGCTGCTAATTTGCTCCTCTTGCTTTCTTCAGATTTGACACTTACAAGCTCAAGAGCGAAAGCCTCCGCCTTGTCCAGTACTTGAACGCAGTCGATAACGGCAGGATCCTGTGCGTTGCAGTGAATGACGAAGGGTCCAAGAACCTGGATGACTCAGCCAGGAAAGCGATGACCAAGTTGGGCAGCAAGCATTTCCTCCACCTTGGCTTTAGGTAGGAGCTGGTCAGGTCAAAGCTGGGCAGCACAAAGGCCCAATTGTTTCAGTCATGCAGCTAAAATAATACCACTTTTTTCCAGCTTCACAGACACCCTCACATTCTCTTCTTTTGGAAAAAAAGTTGTCCTCCTTTCCATATTTGGTGTTTGGAACCTGAGGAGACAGTCTGAAAGATTCCGTAGCTTAGCTGCAAAAGTTGTATTGTGATTTTTTAGGGATTGAGAGCAAATTTCACTATAACCGGGGAAGGCCTAGGATTATTTCATATATATATATATATATATATATATATATATATATATGCTCTGTGCATAATGAGTACCTTAAAAATAAAAGAACCAATGAACGAAATCACACCAAATTTGGCAACAAAACGTCTCACAACACAAGGAGTGACCATCACTCAAAATTATGATTTTGTCATTTGGGAGTTGTAGTTGCTGGGATTTATAGTTCACCTACAATCAAAGAGCATTCTGAACTTCACCAACGATGGAATTGAACCAAACTTGGCACACAGAACTCCCATGACCAACAGAAAATATTGGAAGGTTTGGTGGGCATTGACCTTGAGTTTGGGAGTTGTAGTTCACCTACATCCAGAGAGCACTGTGGACTCAAACAATGATGGATCTGGACCAAACTTGGAACAAGCATTCAATACGCCCAAACATGAATACAGATGGAGTCACAAAAAGGGTCAAGGTTTCATCCGAAAACACAACCTTAGCATGCATCGTTGACTTTATGAATGTGGACAATGTGTTAACGTAACACAGAAATACATGGCTAAGTTCATTTCATTTGGTATTTAGGCAGAACACAAACTTGCTAACAGCTCCTTCTTTCTTGCCAACCCTGCATGTCATAAATGTTGACTCTTTTTTGGAAACCTGACAATACTAAAAAAAGCCCCTAATTTGGAGAAGTCATTTGGAAAAAGCCAGAGGTTTTAGTTGCTTCTCCCCGGCCCTTATAAATTCTCCAACGCCTCGCTTCTGGACTTGGAAACTTATCTGGAAATGAGTCTGTTTCATGGTAAACTTGCACAGGACACTTCATTTTATGTTGGCTGTGTGGTACCCTTTTCCTTTCTTGGTTTTAAGGTTTGTGTGTGTGTGTGTGTGTCTTATGCAGAATGCTGTTTTCTTACTGTATTAAGTTTATCAGACACATTTCATTTGAGTTGCTTTGATGTGAACTGAAAGGAATGCATGCACGGAAAATAGCAAAGCGCTCTTGGCAATTCCAAGTAGTTGCCATGCCATTTTCCCCATGAGTCTATCCCACTCATTTGGATTGAAGGCATTGTCCAAATTCCTTTAACCCATATGTCCTGAAGGGAAAAAATGGCCAGCGGTCGCTCTCTCTTTATTTATTATTTGTTTATTTACAGTATTTATATTCTGTCCTTCTTACCCCGAAGGGGACTCAGAGCGGATTACAGAACACATATATGGCAGACATTCAGTGCAGTTATACACTAACAAGACAGACAACTGTACATAGATAAAGGTATATGCAGACTTTCCCATTTTCGGCATCTTGGAGGCTGTGTTCGGTTCCGGCCACAGGGGGTGGTGTCACTCCACTTTCCTTGCCAAAGAGCTTTGTAAACTTCCTCCTTGATCGAATCGCTGGCATTTTCTGGCATTTCCTTTTGGGTTCCTTAAATGCCTCCCGCTTAAGCAGTACCTATTTATCTACTCACATTGCTGTTTATGAAACTGCTAGGTAGGCAGCAGCTGGGCTAAAAGCCAGGAGCTCACCTTGACCCAGGCTTTGAACTGTCAACCTTTCAGTTGGCAAGATTTACTGCAGTTGGCAGTTAACCTGCTGTGATAAAGCCCAGCCGTTTGGCATTTGCCTTATGTATTTTCTCCAAGGTTTTATACGTACGGTCAAAATTGGGTACCTTGGCACCTTGGTTTTGATCCAAAATGGCAAATGCAGTTCTAGAATGGTATATTTTAATCAGAACTGTTTTTGGACTACAGCCCATAAAATCTACCCGCAAGCATCGCCAATGACTGTGGTGTTCTGGGATTTGCAGAGAATTTTACAATTTCTGGTTTGATTTTCCAAACTGGGTAAAATCCATATTCTTAATCCATGGAATTCACAGCCCTTTGAAGGCAACCATAAGGCTGATGTGATGGCATCACCCTTGATGGCAATGAGTTTGATCCCGAAGTCCTCTGGGATCTCTAGACAATTTGCAGCATGCCGACAAAACTTGCATAGAGTCATAGTCGGAAGAGACCTTGTGGGCCATCCAATCCAACCCCCTGGCAAGAGGCAAGAAAATAGCATTCAAAACACCCCTGACAGATGTACATCCAGCCTCTGTTCAAAAGCCTCCATAGAAGGAGCCTCCACCACACTCCGGGGCAGAGAGTTCC